GTGTGTGTGTGTGTGTCCTCAGATGTCTCTCACCAATAACATTGAAACATTTGCCTCCAGCTACAGAGTGTGGCATGGGATCCAACACTGTAGGAAAACCTACAAGCGCACAGACATGAAGGACATGCTTAAAAAATGACAACATGGCCATGTTCTCGCCCCCTCTTGCTTCCGTTTATACTCTTCCTTAGCCTTCTTGCCAAACTGCCAAGATTCATATCTGCTTTTTCTGTAGTATTCTGCTCTCAATCTGCACATCTCACATTCCCTCTGTTTCTAAAAGTCTTCATGCTTCTACTAAGGCAAGAAGAAGAACATCCACCGTCTTCTTCCGTCATCTGATGTAGATCAGTAGAGTAGGGCCGGGTGCGATTGTGTAAATTTAATTTAAGCTCATCCTTTCAGACTATCGTCAAGGTACCAAATCCAACCATGGCAGATGGATTTAGAGAACAACTACTTAACCCCCCGATATGTGAGCTGTGAGAGTGCCTGTCAAGCACCTCATCACCCACACATACTCTAAATATCTGCACCCTTTATTCTCCATTGCACTTCCTAACCCTTTTGCACAAAAGGTAAGAAGAAAAGAAAATAAGGACAAGGGACGGCATGTTTTTGTGTTTATTATAACCCTGAGCAGGCTGGAACACCGCAGGATGGAGGGAGGCAGAAAGAGAACGTGTGAAATAAAGCAAGGACAAGCCAAATAGCAGGCAACTGAGCAAACAGAGAAACATTGGACCAGAAGGAAAAGAGAGGAATAAAGTGGAAAAGGAAAATGCAGGCATGGGGAAAATCTGAAGGTGGCACACAGGTGAACACTGACGAATCACCGAAGCACAGAAAGTACGGTTTTGGAGATTTGCAGGTGTTTTGGTTTTTTGGCCCACAACTTTGCTGTTTGGGTTGAATCTCTCATCAGACCACTCTTCCAGCATCATTTACAGATGAATCTGCAGCTGTTTTCAGCAAAACAGCTTTAACCATGTCTCAGCACCACATGTCCGACAGACAAAGTTAGCAACATTTAGCAGCTATTTAGCCAAATATAGACCAAAATAGATCTAAAACAAGAATAATTATTGAACTTGAAATGTATCAGGCAGCTGCTGGATGTGTAAATAGCCAAATATTTCCTAACAAATTCAAATCAATGAATGCTGGTTAAAGTAAATGTAAAAATACCACAATAGCTTACATTACTATTAAAAGTCCTGCATTCAAAACTGTACTTCAGTAAAAGCAAGTATTTGCTACAAAATATTCATATGAGAACCAACAGATTTACAGAGGAGTCCATCTCCACTGTCCTAGACACAGTTTTCACACACCTAGAGAATAACAACACTTACGTCAGAATGCTGTTTGTTAATTTTGGCTCAGCATTCAACACAATTCCCCCCCCCACCACTCTGGGCCTTAGTACCTCACTCTGCAACTGGATATTTGACTTCCTCACAAACAGACAGTCCAGATCGGTCACACCTCATCCAGTGCTCAACGCCAGAGCCCCTCAGGGCTGTGTGCTCAGCCCCTTCTTGTTCACACTGCATCCCCCGACATGGAAACAACTCTTCTGTAAAGTTTGCGGACGACACTATCATCAGACTTCATCTTGGGAGGAAATCAACAATCTTGCAGAGTGATGCACACAATTTATTACTTAATGTCAGAAAAACCAAGGAGCTGATTTTAGAATTTAGTAAAAGAGGCAAAGACTCACACCTCTGTTTACATCAGTGGAGCTGAGGTGCAGCAGGTGAACAGTTTTAGGTTTCTGGGAATCAACATCACGGACAACCTGGACATTGCACATATCCACCCTGGTTAAGAAAGCTCAGAAACGACTTCAACCCGTACCAAGTTCTTGTTAAGTTTTAGCAATAGAAAGAATCCTGACTGGAAACATCATAGCTCTGCAGCAGGGGGAAAACCACACAGAATAATCTAGCAAGCATCAGTGATATCTCTAAGGTGAGGTGCCTGCATAGTACCCACCCCAGCCACAGCCTGTTCACCCTGTTGTCGTCTGGCAAGAGATACAGGAGTATTCGTTGCCGTACCACCAGACTTTACAGCAACTTCTTTCCTCAGGCTCCTTGACTCATCCACCGCACTCCAACATAAATAATAGTTTTTTGTTTGTTTGTTTTGTGTGTAGCATAAATCGACTACAACGTGTTTCGTTGTACAATCCCTTGTTATAGAGTGATAAATAAATGAACCTTGAGCCTTGGAAAGTACTGAATGGCTCCTTTTAAAGTGTTATAAATTACTGATACATTCACTTCAAAGAGGCATTTTTATGTTGTTGATGATCTAAGTGATACTACATCATACTACTATATTATGAAGACTTACTATACTAGACATACTGTATGTTTTAGGTAGTGAAATGTTTTGCAATGTGTTATATTATCTGGATATTTCATAACAGCCTGTTTAAGATAAATACTATTGATAAATATAAAAGTGAAAAGTGTAATATTTCTCTCTAAATGTTAGTGGAATAGAAGCACAAAGTAGAACATGGAATTAATCAAGTAAAGTACAAGTACCTTTAAACAGTACTTGAGTAAATGTACTTTGTCACATGCCAGTCCTGCATAGATGTGTTTTCACCTCCAAATCACTAAAGCCGTGCTAACAGGGAGGTCACTGGCAACTCAAGCAGGACAGACGGTGACAATAAGCCTTGTGTTTGCCCACTGCACAGACACACTGCACAGTTTGTTCTATAGCTGCGGGCACACTGCGGAGCGTCGAGTGGGTGTATTTCTCTTGAGTGATTTGTTGGTATTTTGTTATGCAGACTCTTGTTTGGCATGTTTAATGATCTGCTTCAATTCATGAGAGCTGTGTGTATGTGCATGAATGTGTGTGTCTGCCTGTGTGTTGACACCCTTGACATGCAGTTCTCTCACTCCTGTTGCAGAGCAGAGACAGAGAGAGGCCTCAACAGAAAACACATCATTGAAGGTAACAAGTCGATCTCCTCTCCTCTGCTTTGTCCTTCATGTCACCCCATCACTCGGAGTCCCGCTGCACTCCTGTAATCTCCCTCTTTTATCTCTTTTCCTCACTGCCTTTTTTCTCTCTCTTCTCTCTACTCTTTGATTTTACACAGCATGTGCACCCAGCTGAATTTGACAGTTGTATTAGGCAGTGATACGTCAAATCTCAACAGATGTTTTATCTTTTCTGTTGTAATACCTTTACAGGTGTCTTTTTAGGAAACATCGTGTACTACACACTTTCAAGTATCCTAAAATGCTCCTCTTCTCTCCTTTGCTTTATTACCCCTCTTTTACAAGATTTATGGCTTTGTTCAATCTTATAATGACATACATTTCTCATATCATTGTGTCAATCCACCCCTGTTCCCAAACAACTCGCCATCCGGCCCACAGCGCAATGCACCTCCTGCAGTGACTCAGCTCTCTCCCACGTTATTAACATTCACCGCAGCCTCTGCAACTTTCCCCCCCAAACAAGAGAAGGGGAATACACTGGACTGGAGGAAAAGGGCAAAGACTGAAAAAGTAGGAGAGAGCGGAAGGAAAGGTGGCACTGCCAATTAGCTAAAGCCAGTTTGCCCGTGCAAATGATAGGTAGCATCTGTGAGAGAAAAGGTGCAGTGTCCCTGTCTCTACTGGTGTGGCACGTCACCACAGGCTAATTAACTAGCTGAGTCAAACATCTGCTGACACCATCATGCTTACTACTGGTTTTACAGCCCACCACAGGCCAGTCAGTTAATCATTTGATTGGTAAAGTGACATTTACTGGGTATGATGGGGTGTCAAAATACAGTTATCAATAACGGATATCAGCGCTGATGAACTCTGAGGTGACAGTGCAAGAAAATATCTCTCTAGCAATTGGGACGATTTTCCTCACAGGGCAAAGAAATTCCTTGACTATTTCATCATTTCAAAGAGACTTTCGTAGAACATTAGCATTAAAGATGTATTATTCATCCCAGACAGCATTAGACTAGCTTTGTTGTTCAAAATCTTTTCTCAGTTTCTAAAAATAGACTCCCCTCACAGGCAGTAAACTCCAGCTAATCCACGAGACTGCGCGAACTGCTCGTGATGACGGTGCAGGCTCCGATTAGGATCCATGTATTGGGGGTTTCTGGGATCGCGGGAGTGCAGATGACAGAAGAAGGAATAAGTGGTTGGAATGGTGGTGGGGAGAGCATAACTCTCAGCTGGGATTAGCAGGCGATGATGAAGCCTCTGGCACTAATCTGCCATGCACACTCACACATACTCAAGAGCGCAAGTGTGTCTTTTTCCATGTCTCTCTATTACTCTGCTGTCCTCCTTTGTGACAGTCTTCTGTGTTCGCTTTTCATCTTTCGTCAAGTCTTCTCCGTGTCTGAATGGGGACTGATCTGCACACAGTACTTTGTTGCCATGTCTTATACTCTCCACAATATACAGTGCTTGACTAACAAAAAAAACTGAAATCTCAGCAAGAGAGAAAGAAATGACCTTTTCCCTCATCTTTCTTATCGTCCTCTCAGCTTTGAGTTGTTTGGTTCCTCCAGCACTTTTTCTACATAGTTCTTCTTACCAGGATATAGTGGTGTGAATTTTTTGACAGTAGCCTGAAATAAAAAACAATACAGCTCAGAACAGTTATGTCATTTTCAATAAGCAATGTGTAGGGTCTTTTTATTTTTAACACAGTTTATATTGGAGATTATATTTGAACAATAAAAAGGCTAAAATGTCAATTTGCTTTTCATACTTTGAGTCACTTCTTGTATTTAAATGGGTCGGCATTGTTTACTATGTCGCAACTCACAAGTCAGTCAAACAGAAGAGCAAGAAGCCAGAAAAAGCAAGTTATGGGAAAGTGCATGCTACTGCTGCTACTGCTGCTACTGCTCAGTATTTAGCCAAAATGCCAAGCTATTGTGCAGCAACATAAAAGACATTTTAACATGTCATAGCGAGAAACACACAGGGGGAATTAATTACATAACAACAATAGCTGAGATCCAGTTAGGTGTTCAGTTCCTGCTATCATGAATGCATGCTTACTGTCATGACTTTTCTGGGACATTTTAATGGAGTCGTGGAGCATTAATTATTGTTATTACTTATACTAGTGCTTTTCCTACTATGATGAGTCAGAATATCAACTGTGAAAATGGGTCTACTTCATCTTATTGAACCATGTCTTCCAGCTTAGTAACATATTTCCCTTTGCTAACCATTAAGTCATTAAGAATTCAGTAATTAAACTTTTTTTCTTCATAAAACCAATTCTCATCTTGTTAAATGTAATTGTCAGAAAGAGCACATTAGTTTCCAGTTGATTATAAAACATTCGATTCATATTTGAGGGAACAAAGTCTGTATTTCCTTTAAAAACAATGTAGCATTTTGTTGTTTGGCAAATGGTACTTGTCATTCCATAAAAACGACCCCTACTCGGTAAACCAGGCTGAATATGACAACCCAGATTCACGTACGAGCTGGATCAAAAGATGTGGCAAGCTAGATGCAGCTGGCAGGCCTTGAGTCACATGTGGTCAACTGTCACTTTGCCATGTTTATGAACATGTTGACTTTAAATCCCCCTGGATACAGTTCACCCTGTTTTCCTTTTACCTTATTCCATGGCAAGTGAAAAAAGAAAAAATGGAACTCTTGAATACCTATTTTTTGCACATTGTTGTTCTGAGGAAGGCACACAGCACGATTTATTTTCAGTTAAAATGGCTATAATTAGTATTTTAATATTAACAATTGATCAGATGACTACTTGTACGTAAAGGGGGTTATAATTGTATGTTATATGTTCACTCTTTCCTTTCTCATAGCAACTTGTTTTTTTGAAGAAAAAGCACTAAAAACATATACACTACAGTACCTACTCAGCGGTGAATGCCAGACAGTGAACATAGTGGAGCATTTAGCAGCTATAGAGCCAGATATTTTTTCCAGAGTTTGTAGAGACCAAAATAGAGCTATAAGGAGAGTCAATACTGGACTTACATTCACCTGAATAAAGTAAACAGAAAACTCCAAATAAATATTAGTCTGTATCTGCTGGAAATGTATATATAGGCAATAGTTTGCTAAAAAGTTAACCATATGTTGTGTTGTTTTTACAGTTCCTGCTGCACTCAAGTGCCCAAACAATCAGTATTGCAAGTTTATGTGCAAGCAATCTGTTTTTACTAGAAAGTCATTGCTATATTTTATCTATGACAGTGTTGAATAAATAGCATGTAGAACTGGAGGAAGTCACATGCACACGGTGATTATCACTCTTCCTCTGCAGATCCAGGCCAACGTTTCCAAAGGTGTCAAGGGACAAGATTTTCTACTTGCTAGCATGTCTGAATGATACTGTAATAAGTCTCCTTAGTCCACTGGTATTAGTAGAGGTATTTACGAGTAGAAGGATGATACTCGGGGATTATGTGGGTTATGTTGACTCTTTATTCCAAGTGTGTCAAATCATCCTATTGTTTATTTATGTGTTTACAGTACGGTCAGTAACACATCTATTACTGCACTACAACACTACAATACTGACCACAAACGCTCATGGTTCCTTTTGACTTATCTACATCTTTCTCAACTTATTCTCTTATCTCACATAAGGGTTAAAGGGCTCCCTCCAGAGGATGCAACTCGAGTATGTGGATGTCGTTTTTGCCAACCGGCCAGACAGCAATACTCCCATGGAGGGTGAGTGATCGCTGCCCAGACCTGGGGGGGGCGTGGAGGCTTGGGGCAGGGACAATGCATGTTATTCTGTAACATGAGAAGGTGAGAAATACTGACAAGTGCCCTCACCGGACTGGCGACCTTTGCCTTTGACCAAAGGGGTTTGTCTATGTGGTCAAGGGTGTGTGTCTCTTCCTCTGACACACACACAC